CTGAGTCACAGGGCATAAGCGAATTTTCAAGGAAGACCAGGCCTTTTTGCTATATCATATTCATTTGGTGGGATTTTCGACGAATCAAACGTATATCTGCTATAATAAGCGACTACTATACTTTATTTTTTGAATTAAGTATTGTTTGGTCGTGTCTACCAGTAAATCAGTAATATCATATCATTGTGGGAAAATTCTTCTTCTACCAGTCCTTCATCATCTTAAAGGAAATTTGGTGAATACATCTCATATTACTGATTTACTGGTAGACACGAAAAACAATACTCAATTCGAAAAATAAACCCTATAGAAGTTTAATCTTTATTCTAATTATCCGCACATCTGAATGCGAGATAAATCATCTACCAGTCCATTCTCAGTTTCTAAATAAGATCAAGCGGTAGAATCTTAAACCGGCTAAGAAAGGAAAATAGGGTTAATAATCTCATGTGGTAGCAAATATAAAGTAGGTTCAGCGACAATCCTCCGCAAGAAATGTGATATCGGATAGTAAAGGACTTGCTTGAGATGCATATTTGCCCTGTGATGTAAGGCCAATCGCGGTAATGTGAAGTTGTAGTTAACGTGCCGAGAGTACACACCGCATTGCCACTTCAGACTGGATGAGAACACCTTTTATGAAAGCAATACTATGTAAAATGCTATGGAAATGTCAGCTCTACCTACAGCATTATGGAAAAATTCAACTACCTTTCCTTCTTTACTTTAAACGAAATAGGGTGAATACATCTCATATTACTGATTTATTGATAATCTCGAAGGCCTGCTTAGAAAAAAATAATTAATTATAGAAGGCAAGACTAAATTAAATACTGTATAATTTTTGGATATATCCACGACTTGGAACTTTACCGACGCCTATTGCATGAGACGTTAAACTCTGTGCTAATTGACTACGTCGCAACAACGTCTCCGCAAAAGTCATTTATCTCACACAAAAATCCAAGGCTGACTATTATTAGGGCATAAATATCTTTTATATGAGTTTTAGGTCTACACCTAAATCTGCTAAACCATTGAAAAGAGAGCGCCAGACTCATAAGAAAGAATGACAGCAACATCTAGGAGACCGTCGTGAGCAAAGCCTCCAGTGGCAACGAACAGTCGGATCTCGATATCATCCAGGCAGATTGCCATTGTGAATCGATCCAATGCTCTGACGCTAAATAGTTTAGGGGTCGAAGATGAAATGAGGGGATTGCCTGATGATGGCATCATACCTTAATTCTAAAAGGGTACAACTTTGACACTTGGCCTCAACGCATTGTCTCCAATACACCAGGATGCAGGAGTTTGGGTAATACTATTTACTTCGATAATATATGTATAAATAAGTATATATATATATATATATATATGTATGTAAATATATATATATAAAGATAGTAAGATTAAATTATTGTAATAATATATCGAAGTGGGT